TGCTCTGTGTTGAATGCGCAGGTGTCCTTGTCTGCTGCTGCTGGTCGAAGTGCGACATGAAGCTGAAGAACCTTTCCATAAGGTTCGGGTCCACGCTTGAAGAGGGAGATGGAGTCACCATCTCTGGTACTCTTCCGTTGTTTCTTGAGCAGTCCCGGTCTCTGTCTGCAGTCCTGAGGTGTGCAGACCAGAGTTGCCGTGTTGAGTTTCTTGGCGCTGGGTGAGCCCGTAGAGACTTTCTTGCCCTTGCTGTCCATGTCTTGTAATCAATGAAGTCGTTGAATTGAGTTGAGTTGCAGGTTGTTGATAGAGCGTAGTTGCTGGGAGTTTGGTCTCTGACCAGCTCTCATACCATGTTGGGCTGAGAAAAGCCCTTAGGATCTTTTGCAGAGACTAAGTCCCAGTTGAAGACTTGAGACTTGAGTAGTGCAGCGGAAGTTGAGGCAGTTGAACCCTTGTACTAGTATATGAGAACAAGTGATTGATTAAAGAAACAAGCATACAGCAATATATAGAAGATAAGAAAGCAGTTGTAGAATACAGTTACAGGAACGGTTTATCGAGTCGCACAGCGACTCGATTGCCGCTTCGGTTACCATCCGTGATGTTGTAACGGTCAGTCGCAACCTCCAGTTGCGACCTTTCGAGTCTTTCGCATTCTTTGTCCGCCCCCTCGTGTAACCTCCGTTGACTCGCGTGCTCCCCTGTAGTCTTCCTCGAGTGCAGTGTTACACTTCAGAAACGCTCAAGTCCTTTGAGATATTTCCACACCGAGGGTATGAGAGGTGTCAAACATGTCTATTTGTTATGTTTGTATAGACTGTATAGGGTAGCCTCTTAGAGGGTACAACACTTAGCTATATTGTGTGTACTCTCCCCCTATCATCATTATTCAATTTTCTGACATGGTATCAGAGCCAAAGGTCTTGGGTTCAACTCCCAGTGCCAGCGCTGCAGAGGCGCTCGTGTCTTCCACCTATCCCAGCGGGGGGGGGGGTGTTGAGTGACCCGCTGGGGTTGCCCTTGAGATCCTCGGGGAAGGGCCACAGGTGCAGAGCCTGGGGGGCTGTGGGCGCACTTACCCGCTATTCAACAAGCCCTTTTAACCCAGTGGTTAGTGGCTGGGTTTCTGACATGGTATCACGCGTAGGTAGGATCCCCCCCCCACCTACCGCTTCCGCTCATGCCCCCTAGCGCCCCTCCTGGGCCCCGTCGCGCTCCTCCCAGGCCCCATCGCGCTCCTCCCAGGCCCCGTCGCGCCCCTCCCAGGCCCTCTAGCGCCCCTCCTGGGCCCCGTCGCGCTCCTCCCAGGCCCCGTAGCGCCCCGTCGCGCCCCTCCTGGGCCCCGTAGCGCCCCTCCTGGGCCTCGTCGCGCCCCTCCCAGGCCCCGTCGCGCTCCTCCCAGGCCCCCTAGCACCCCTCCTGGGCCCCGTCGCGCTCCTCCCAGGCCTCGTCGCGCCCCTCCTGGGCTCCGTCGCGCCCCTCCTGGGCCCTGTAACGCCCTCCCAGGCCCCGTCGCGCTCCTCCCAGGCCCCATCGCGCTCCTCCCAGGCCCCGTCGCGCCCCTCCCAGGCCCTCTAGCGCCCCTCCTGGGCCCCGTCGCGCTCCTCCCAGGCCCCGTAGCGCCCCGTCGCGCCCCTCCTGGGCCCCGTAGCGCCCCCTCCTGGGCCTCGTCGCGCCCCTCCTGGGTTTCGTAGCGCCCCTCCTGGGCCCTGTAACACCCCCCCCCTGTTCCTGGTCACCCCTTCCCCGGTAGTCCCTGCCCCTCCTCCTCCTCCTTCCCGTCCCGCCCCCTCTGGTGTCTCCCATGTCACCCTTCTTCCGTCCGTGGACCCGGTTGAGGAGTCTTCTGACTCTGGTGGCCCTCCGGTGCAGTCCTCGCCGGCCGCCCCTCCCCAGGTGTCCCCTCCCCAGTCCCCTCCTCCGCCGTCCCTGCCGCCACTGCAGCCGTCGCCGTCGCCGCCGCCGCCGCAGTCGCAGCCCCCGTTCGCTGACTCTGGGGGTGCTCCCTCTGGGGGTGCGGGTGTGGAGCGTGCCGGTGGTAGCCGAGGAGCAGCTTGCGGTCCAGGTGTCGCCGTTGTGCCGCCGCAGCAGCAGTCCCCGCCGGTGTCCGCCCTTCGCCTGCTCGGCCTTCCGTCCCCCGACCCTGCGTCGGTTCCTCCCCGACCGTCTCCTCCTCTTCCTGTCTACGGCCCTGTTTTCCCTCCGCCGGACTCGTCCCCGGCCCGTCTCCCCCCTCGTTCACCTCCTGTGTCCCCTCCCCTGTCTCCTGACCCGACTCCTCCATCGCACGTCTCGTCTCACCGTCCCTCCCGTGCTCGTCCTGCCTCGCCTGTCCTGCGCTCCCACCCTATGTTGCTTCGTTCACACGCGTCTCGTCCTCCCCTTCTGCCGTCGCCTCCTCCGTCCTCCCTTGTTGTTGCGCCCCCCCCGCTGTCCGACTACCTTCGTGCCGCTCGTCCCCTCGTTCCTCGGGTCCTTGCCTCTCTCGTTACCGACCCGTCTGTTCCAGTCTCATGCCTTGACACTCTTGTCGCTGCTGTGGCTGACTTCGCCTCTACCCGCCGCCTTGACTACGCCACCGCTCTGGTCTCTGACCCTGCCTGTCCTCCGTCTGTCGGGGGTGCTCCTGCCCTTGGCAGTGACGTCCTGGAGGACCGCCAGTTCGAGCTTGCTTTCCTGTCTGAGGCTGCTCCCCATCTCTGTTCCATGCTGCTAGTCCCTGAGGGTGACCCAGACGCTTTTGACATCCCGACCCCTCGCACTTACGCTGAGGCGACTTCGGGACCCTGGGCCTCGCAGTGGATAGCTGCCATGGAGCAGGAGATGGCATCTTGGAGATCCACCGGCACCTTCGTCGACGCAGTTCCCCCACCTGGGGTGAACGTAGTCGATGGCCGCTGGCTCTTCAAGGTGAAGCGCCCTCCTGGAGAGCCGCCTGTCTTCAAGGCGCGCTATGTGGCTAGAGGCTTCAGTCAGCGCGAGGGGGTGGACTTCTTCCAGACTTTCGCTCCGACCCCGAAGATGACTACTCTTCGGGTTCTGTTACACCTAGCTGCTCAGCGTGACTACGAGCTTCACTCTCTCGACTTCTCCACTGCCTTCCTTAAGGGCAGCCTACACGAGCAGGTCTACCTGCGCCGCCCTCCGGGCTTTACTGGCACCTTCCCTCTTGGGACCCAGTGGCTCCTGCGGCGTCCCGTCTACGGCCTGCGCCAGGCTCCCCGTGAGTGGCACGACACTCTGCGTGCTACGCTTGCTGACCTGCAGTTCTTTCCGTCTTCTGCAGACCCTTCACTCTTCGTTCGTGCTGGCCAGACTCCGTTCTACATCCTCGTCTACGTCGACGACCTGGTCTTTGCCACAGCAGACAGGGACGCGCTGGCCTCCGTGAAGGCAGAGCTGCTGAAGAGACACACCTGCACTGACCTTGGAGAACTGCGCCGTTACCTTGGCTTGCAGATCTCCAGGGACAGAGCTGCGCGCACCATCACCTTGACTCAGTCACACTTGGTGCACCAGGTCCTTCAGAGGTTCAGCCTTCAGTTCTCCTCTGCACAGCCCACCCCTCTGCCTGTAGACCACAGGCTCTCCTCTCCAGTGCCTGAGGAGTTGGTAGAGCCGAGCGGCCCCTACGCAGAGCTGGTGGGTTGCCTCATGTACCTGATGACTTGCACTCGCCCAGATCTCGCATACCCTCTCAGCATCCTGGCTCGCTTTGTGGCCAGAGGCAGACACCGACCGCAGCACTGGTCTGTCGCTAAGAGGGTTCTGCGTTATCTTGCTAGTACATCGGGCATGGGGTTAGTGCTAGGAGGACGCAGGCCAGCGGTCCTTACTGGGCACACAGATGCTTCGTGGGCAGACGACGCTGAGACACTCCGGTCTACCCAGGGCTACTGCTTCAGCCTTGGCTCAGGTGCCGTCTCGTGGAGAGCTACTCGCTCCTCGTCTGTTGCACAGTCCAGCTGTGAGGCTGAGATCTACGCCGGTGCCATGGCGGCACAGGAGCTCCGCTAGCTGACCTTCTTGCTCACTGACTTAGGTGAGCGACCTAGCTCTGCCCCGGTCCTGTTCGCTGACAACAGGGCCATGATCCTCCTGTGTCAGGAGCCTCGACTCGAGGGCAGAGCGAAGCACATTCAGCTGCGGTACTTCCTCCTGCGTGAGCTACAGCAGCGACGTCAGGCTCGCGTAGTACACTTGGCCTCAGGTGCCAACACGGCTGATATCTTTACGAAGGCGCTTGCGCCTAAAGATCATCAGCGGCACTGTGTACAGCTTGGTCTAGTTCCTGTAGCCTCTCACTTGCTAGGACCTTGACTTTGTACTGTCCTTTATATGTATACTCAGACTGGACTTGTGTCCTCTCCCAGTGGCTGGACTAGTAGTGCCGCCCTGCTCTTTGCTTGCCTTGTCTGTACTCCTTCTGACTGGTCGCTCAGACCCTTGTCTCAGAGGTTGGACTAGTAGTGCCGCCCTGAGCTGTTTGTTTAGGACTTTCCCCTATGCAGTCTAGGGGTGTGTCAAACATGTCTATTTGTTATGTTTGTATAGACTGTATAGGGTAGCCTCTTAGAGGGTACAACACTTAGCTATATTGTGTGTACTCTCCCCCTATCACCATTATTCAATTTTCTGATAAGAGGAGTGTGACTGGTCGAGGACTTCGAGATTTTTTTCTTGGGGGTGTGTGTGATTGGATGCGGTAATCACGGGGGGACGCAAATCTCGCTGTACTCGGTTTCAGATTTCCCCCCAGACACATCGCTGAAACCTCAGCCTACACTCCAACAAAAACGCTGAAATCAGCAGACATCACTATAAATAAAAGGCTGAATTTGTCAGCCTTACCTATCTCAAAAAGTCTTACAGTTCAGAATGTTCAAGAAAAAAGGCTGAAAAAAGGCTGAATCAGCGTAAAATGGCTGATATCTAGGGGCCTGGCTGACAGGGCTATGGGGGTTACCTCTTTTTCAAATCTTCAAAATTTTAACTGCCGCCAACCTAAATTTTTACTCTGGCTTTAAAAATCAATGCAACCGGGAACATCCAACATAAATCAACTATACGCCAACACGCTAAACATGGAGAAAGCGCTCTCCATGTACCATGTACAGCAACACTAGTTCACCTGTAGTACCCTAAAATCGTCTGGAGATGCCTTAACTGGACGCAGCGCAGAGCCAGCTCCAGAAAAAAAAACTGACGGATAGCTCCAGGTCGCGACGGGCTACTATCGCGGATAACGAGCGTAGGAGCTCAAGACTGCCTGCTGACGAGCACAAAGAGTGCTGGCAAGCGGGAGGATCATGGAGGGCGAGTGAGAATACTCCCTACGGCTCCTGGCCACTCAGCTGGATGGTGGACGAAGACGAGAAGACCGAGAAGGAGGCAGAGGAGGACGCAGAGGGGGAGCGCGAGACGATCGAGGAAGGCACGGACGGGACGCTGAAACGGCTGCTGCCGCCGCAGCTACCAGCACCGCCACTGGTACTGACCCCGCTGCTGATCAGGCTGCCACTGAAGCCGAAACCACTGCTGGGTTCGCAGGAGGCAAGATTGACGACGCGGGAAATAATCCCGTTATGGCTGATGGGTTGCTCATGAAAGTTGAGGTTTTTACGGCGGGAAGAGATCAAGCCGGGAGATGCGGTAGTATGATACGGTGCGGGAAGCTGGGGGAACGGTTGGGAATGGTAAGCCGCGGTGGCGTTGATGTAGGGTTCGGGGGAGCGATCAGGTGGGTTGCTCGTGGCAGGACGAATGGGTTCCCATTCGCGACATGACTCGCGAAAGTTCAATTCCGAATGAAGGGCAGGGACCTTTCGCACAACCCGGCGGGTGTCGCATACGCGTTCGTCAATGTTGTAACACCCAGCGAAGTCTGGGAATGTCGCAGCACCACCAGACGAATCTGCCAGCATGTTGGGGTTGCACTCAGGAGCCTGGCAGGCGATGTTACCACAGACCGGAACATTTCGCCCAAGCTCAACGTACGATCCCGGCTGCTCCTCCTCGCAAGCGTGCATGCGGGATCCTGTCAGCGCTGCCCGCACCATCGACGCGCTCACTTGCGCTGGCTGCGATTGCGATTCCTCGTGCGTCGTCGCGAGGCCTGTAAATGGATCTCGGCCCGTGAACAGATCCCCCGAGGGGATCTGGCGGGCACCAGTAGTTCGCGGGCGTGCCGCTGTAGCGAGCCCGGGTCCAGCGACACTCGCCGCGCCGGGGGCCGCTCTTCGCGCAACCAAGCGACATCGTTCGCGACGTCGCCGAACTCTTCCGCAGTTCGCAAATACGTCGCGCTTTCGCGTCGTAGATGAGGGGTTACCCCTTCTCTGGTCACCCCCGGGGAAAACGGTCCGTTTCCTCTGCTGGCAGCGGCCGCTACACCTGGCGTGAGATCCGGCGTGAGATAGTACGTGCTGCCGGGATGAAGCGCCTTCTGCGGCGCGAGGCGCGGGCGAGAGGACGTGAGGCTTCCGACGTGGTAACCCGGATACGCCGCGAGGATATCCGCGACGGTCTTCCCTTCGCCGAACATCTCCATGCTGCCGTCGGGAAGCAGCAAGCACACGAGCTTGTCGCTGGTGCCGCGAAGCACGTCCAGGTGCATCCCCCAGAGGCCCTTGCTCGCATGACCCTTGCT